GGTCATACTTGCCGATTGAAAAACAAGTTTGTGACATCATATTTTGGTGTTCATAAATTTGTCCATCAGTTAGTAAGGGTTAGAAAGGAACCAAAATTGTAATAATTTATTAAAAAGTGAAGGAAAAAGAAAAACAGATAGAGGCCAATAGAGGAACAAAGTTAAGCACGATAAACAACATTGTCGTGAGGAACAACATCCATGTCGTCGATGCTGTCAGCTTGAATGGGATGGTACGAAACTGCATAGAATACTGAGCTCAAGTTTTTGGACCGAACACTCATTGCTCTCTGCTCTTCTTCACCTGTTTTTGTTTATGGTCATTAACCCTCAAAGCACATTAACCCTCAAAGCACATTAACCCAAGAAACCACGTACCTTATAACAATGTCACACTGCCTCAACACTCCTGTAAAGCAAGCCATCCACCCCGACAACAACTTCGAAGCAATAAGTTGATGGAAGACGACCTGAGGAAAAGTCGATCGAAGCAACGCGAACACGATTCGGACCTCCTTAAGCTTCCTTAGAGAGAAGACGCAATGGAATGGAGTAGAAACTTGAGAACAAGCTCGAGATCGAGAGAGAATCAAAGACGAGAACTCTAAGCGAGAAGTTATGCTTAGGATTCGATGCGAAAAACCCTAAGATGGAGTAGAAACCTTAAACTGACCGATTGATCGGTGTAAATCAATGTTTAATTGGAGGAAAGGGATTATAATCGGTAGAATGTGATTATAATAGGTGGAAATGTGGAAAATGATATTTCAATCGGTGGAATCGAAGGTAAAGGCAAAAAAGATGAAGGTTTGTGAGAAACCCTAGCAGTAGATGTGGTTGGATGATGAGTGAAACGAAAATGCAGATATGTGAAGAGAAATGGAAACTTACGGCTTAAAAATTCTCAAGCGAGAGTGAAAAGCTTATGATGAAGATGTGCTCTTGTGATGAAATGTTACAACCGAGAGACCTGATGGTGCCCTGCCAGTTAGGGTTTCTGTGTGAATATCTGTGTGAAGATGATTAAGAGTAAGCGGCCCATTGATGAAGTCAAGACAGTTAAAGAGATATTATATTCGGTTTTTCAAAAGCAGGCATAATATATTAACAAAATTTTCTATCCACTCATGTATTATAACAAAGGTCTTTACCTCCGTTATAATATCTTTTAAACTTGTGCCACGCATTTTATATTATGACTAATATTCATAACTCCGTTATAATAATATGAATTAAATTATTTTCAAGTTTGCCACCGTATTAGATATTATAACTGATTTTTATAACTCCGTTATAATATGAATTAAATTATTTACAAGTTTGCCACCCTATTAGATATTATAACTGATTTTCATAACTACGTTATAATATGATCGTCATAAAATGTTATTTTTCCACTAGTGACTAGTGTTGTTTGGATGGATCATGTAGAGGCTTTATTTTTTTCATTTAACCTTTTTCTAATTGCCTCTATCACCGATAACTTCTCATAATTAACAATGTAATAACTACACAGTAGACAACAACCAAAGCAAATACTGAAACTTAATCATTAGTATTTTTGTAACTTACAGTTAAATACAAACTATTTGAGAATTAAAAGGAGGGTCATAACCTAATTAAAAAACAAGAATTGTCCCTAAGTCACGGGCTTCTTAAGCTTTTCAAGTTTGAGTGACTTCATCTCTTGAATTACATCTTTCAAATTGTCATAAGAGGTATTGGTTTAGGCGGAAAAGATAAGGCAAGCGACAGAGTGGCTACCACAAACAGAATCTTCCAACCAAGCAATTGTGGCAGCCTACAAAAAATAAAAAAGCGCAATAGTATGTTGAGAAATGAAGCATCCACAACAAGGAAAAACTAAATATATAGGTCCAAAAAGTCTATTCATTACAAATAAGCTCCGGTGGAACAGAGAACAATGAGTATGACAAAAATTGTAACCAAGTTCCAAATCTCAATATTACAAAATCAAATGAAACTGATTTAGTTCTTGAAAATATTTTGAATGAGTTAAGTAAACTTGTTCCATGTCCCAAGTCTAAATAGAAGGAGTTCATCATACACGTGAACTGTATCAAGTTCTTAATAATAAGAATGGGATATTGAAGTTGCTAAAATAAAATAAAAATAAATAAACTCTCAAAACAATAATGGAAGATATTAGAAGCAATTTATCAGAATCAAACCTGTCGGTGGACCATTTTACATACTGAATGTTCCAAATCAGAAAACACCTGCAAAAAATTACAACCATAATCAAAATTAAATCAACCGTAAGGTTATCTGACGATTTTACTATAGCATGCTTCAAGAAAATATAATAATCAAATACTCACTCCAACAAAGCCGTAAGGTCCAATTAATATTGGAAAGTTTATCATTATTCCAAGTTTTACACTATCACCCCTGCATGGCCATAAAACAGAGGCGTTCCTTTATTTCTTCTTTCCAGAATCAGCATGAAAGTGTATTTGAAAATTAGTTCATTTATTTAATTAATATGAATTCTCTCCAACAAATAGCACGTAGAAATTATATTATAGTCCAATATAAAACTTCGTTTCTCACATTAGAAATACTCTACATATAGGTTGTTGAGAGGATATTTTATATGACTGTCACATAATACAATAACTAAATACTTTATAATTTAGTAAAGGACAAAACATAACTCTTTATAATAGTTTGGACATAAATAAAAAAAACATATTTAACTTAAATGAAAATTACTCTATTTCTCTGTATTACTATTCTGATATATGTTTTTATGGTGTAACCTAAGCTATCTTCAATTAACACAAATGTTTTCAGGACAGGAACCACTGATACATTGTTTTATTTGAGAAGAAATTCGTTACTTGAAAATTCACGAAATAGAAAAGAAAAACTGATACAACATGCAACAGAGTGAGAACCAGCTCAAAGAAAGCATACATGTATTGACAGATACATAACATCGTAAGAAGAGATTAATTGTGGAAAATAAGACTGATTTATTATTCTTAATCATAAAAATACTTTCTCATACCCTCTATTTGTAATAATCTAATTCTCCTAAAAAGGAAATCTAGAAAAATAAAATAAAAGATTATGTATCTATTTTCTCTAATTAGGAAGATTCTAAAGATATTATCTCAAATTATAACACTCCCCCTCAAGCTCGATATACAAGATTGTATGAACCAAGCTTGGAAACTAATTGCAGAGAACATCAATAAACCAAATTGGACAACAATGGACAAAAGCGAACTAGCACAATGAAACTTGAACTTGGACAACAATGGACGAGGGCAAACTAGCACCATGAAACTTCAACTTGGACAGCAATGGACGAGAGAGATTTCCATCAAAAAATGGATGATGACTTGCAGCAGCAAACAACAACAAACTACAAGAACAGATGAAGGGCCTCTAGTGGTGAACAACAACAAACTGCAGGGACTGGATTGCCATCAATAGTGGCGAACAACAACAAAACTTCAAGAACATGATTTCCATGAGTAACATATGGGAGGCTTTCAAAGGCTAACAGCCAAAAACCTGTAGGGACTTAACCACCCTGAACAACAATGAACCTTTAGGGACTTAATTGCCCTAACAACAACGAACCTTCAAGGACTTAACTGTCCTAACCTTTAGGGACTGAACTGCCCTAACAACAACAAACCTTCAAGGACTTCACTATCCTAACCTTTAGGGACTTAACTGCCCTAACAACAACGAGCCTTCAAGGACTTTACTCTCCTAAACAGCAACAAACCTTCAGGGACTTAACTGCCCTAAACAGCAACAAACCTGCAGGAACTAAACTGCCCTGCAACGGCTAACAACAACAAACCTGTAGGGACTTAACCACCCTACAACGGCTGAAACTTTTCTTCCCTCACGACTGAACGACATGTGCACCTTAATGATAGAACGTGAAGGTGGAAGAACTAGTGAGAATCGATCTGTACTTGGGGAAAAATCTGAAACCCCTAACATCGAACGAACCAAATCAGCAGACGGTCTCATAGAACAACACTCAGTGAGCTTTTACAACAAGGCATTAGAACAACTCTCAGTGAGCTGTAACAACAAGGCATTGGCAGAAACCAAAAACACCAAAGATTGGGACTTATAATGGAATCAAAAGGCCAAAGACAGGTTGGAGGTCCAAAGTTCTCTACTGGACTACTCCTAAATGGTGATACTTAACACTGTATCACAAGAAGTACAGGCTAAACTCTAGCCCAAGAAGGAAGTTCTCTGCAGGGGCTGAAAAATACTTCCCCTCACGGCAAACAGCCGACAGCGACAAATTGCAGAGGTTACAACAACTGACTGCCGCTATGGCGACTGACTGTGTCGGTGCCGACTATGGTAGCAGCGGAACAAAGCAATGTTGCTCGACAAACAAAAATGAATGGAGAGGTAGAGAACCCTTCGTAATGGAGAGGAAAGAACTGACGGGATGGCGTCGAAAGACGTCTCCCTGTCGAGAGAGCGGGTCATGAAGTATATCCAGCAATTTAGTACAGTGGCAAGATGATGGCGTTAAAGTGACATATCAGAAGGAGCATATTACAGAGTTGGAGGTCCGGCGACACGACCGGCAGCGACACGACCGGCAGCGACGCGGTGTGATTTCGACACCGGGAGGGTGACGCGTGACGAACACGCACTCGAGACCAACTGAAGAAAGGCGGCGCGTGCGGAGGCTTCTGGGAGGTGGATTACCAAGGTTGAGTCGCGCTCCTTGAGGCGCACCCAACCCTTATCTTCGTTGGAGAAAATGACGACGGCGGCAACAACGACTATAGGACTGATTTGGCGCTCGTGGCGGCACGTGAATGAGAAGTAGCCATCGGAATCGGCGCGGTTGGCCGTCGCTCGAAGAGACGATCTAGATCCGCTTGTCACTATTCGAAACTACGACGGTAGACGGCGGCAAATGGTAGTCGGCGGCAGACGGTGGCCGACGGTGGAGAGCGGCAGTGCACAGCGAAATACAGTGAATGAGGATTCTGATTGGAAGTCAGTGAAGATGCCAACTATAGGCATTACTTAAACTACAGGTGCAGCTACTGGTCTGAGGAATCCCATTCTGAGACAAATTCTGGAAGTATAACTTATAGCTAGGTCAGATTAAACTCTGGAAGTATAGCTTATAGCTAGGTCAGATTCAACTCTCTAGAAGTATAGCTTATAGCTAGGTCAGATTGAACTCTGGAAATATAGCTTATAGCTAGGCCAAATTCTGGAAGCACAATTTTGTGTAACTGTTATCAAAAGGACAGACGTGTTGGTAATGCTGGAGAAAAAGCTAGAATTCTAAGGTAGAACTTGACTAGGGCAATTGGAGTCCATTAAAAACATATGTTAAAGAAGAGACTTTTAGGAGGCCGCCGACAGACAGCAAAGACAATGGAAGCGGATCAGACAAGCTCTGATACCATGTGGAAAATAAGACTGATTTATTATTCTCAATCATAAAAAATACATTCTCATACCCTTTATTTGTAATAATCTAATTCTCCTAAAAAGGGAAATAGGGAAACTAGGAAATCTAGAAAAATAAAATAAAATAAAAGATTATGCATCTATTTCCTCTAATTAGGAAGATTCTAAAGATATTATCTCAAATTACAACACTAATCAAGCTTGTCCAGTGCGCTTTCCAACTTTGATTGTTAATTCGGTGTTTATTTTGAGAGAGATGTCTAATGCTTTCACTGAATGAGTCAATGAGCCATTGCCACAAAACATGTCACAAGCATGGTAAATTTTCACTTTTACGAAATAGTACAAAAAGTTTCTTAAACAATTGCAACCATGCTATACCAAAATAGAGAAAACCATAGTAATTATTTTGCTTGAAAAATGCAAGGGATTCCCACATACAAGATGCAGAAGATTGTAATTTATTAAAACAGGATATTTGTTGACTCATTGGCCAAGACTGTTAAAGAGTTGACCCCATGTATTATTTATATTAAGCTTAGATATTGAGATCTTCAAATACATGTTTTTTTAGATTGGATAAATGGGTCAATCTTGTTTTGGTCTACATATTTAATATGGATAGGGTTAGCCTAACCTGCTTACTAAAAAATAGTTCAGATGCGAAGTAAAAGGAACTCATTAACGGAATCAATTTGTTTACAAATTGTGATCATTTCAATATGAAAAACATCACCACTTGAGACACAAGTTCCAAAAATAGAATAACTTTAATTGAGGTCAAAATACCATATACTATGAAATGATGTGGAACTACCAAACTTAAAAGTTTACCTAGAAATGTAGGTCACACCACTTTGCCCGATTTTATGTATAGTATCTAGTGTGACATTGCCTAATGCCTGAGATCACAAAAAGGAAACTAGAAATTAGCAACTAGAATTATCCTCATCCAAAATTTATGGTATCCACAAAATACCTGAGATTCTAAAATTATTAACTATAGTCCAAATTAATAATGATCCCAATAATGCAAAAAGAAGCTAACTAGTCCAAAGAAAATATGGTGTATGACTTCGAAAGCTGACAACAACCTAAACAATATCTTTCACTACATGAACCCATAAAAAAATTTACCTCAAGGTATAAGTGTAACCCTTAATTTGTTTTACATATCGCCTAGCATATTTCCATATACGTCTTTAGATGATTAGAAAATTGAGAAAGCATGCTTGTTCATCAATAACTTGACAAAAACAAAAAAATGACAAAAATAAAAAAGGATATAACGAAATATTGTGCATCGTTTTTTCTAACAAATAATTCAAAATATACTGTAAATATTAACTAAGAAAATTTAGTCGTGATCATGAATACCTCAGTCTCATATCTCCCATTGATCAACTGCACAACTTCTTTAAGCTTCTTTAAGCATGGATATGTCCAACCATATTGTCTAACATAATTCGAGTCAAAGAAGTCTTTGTTTGGAATGAATAATGTAACTGTTCTTCCACTTCCTCAAGAGTCTTGATCTCAACCTGGAAAAAAGACAAATGGGATATCCCCTGAAGTTACGTCAACTGTTATAAGACATGTACCCAAACCTTCACATTAATAACACGGTGAATTTTGGATGAGAGCATGTTGTAATATAAGAAGGGGATACATGTTTCAAGAGGTTTAAACAGCATAGTTATACAACATTTTCGTCAAACATAAAATTTTCGTCAAACATAAAATTTTCAGAATCATAAAACCTTCAAGTCTCTACTATCGTTACCATTCCTTGCCCCAATGAACTTATGCTAGTTTAATACCCCCATTGTAATAACAAAATATGTCGCAACCCTTACTTTCGTTCCTCTAGGGTTTTAAAAAAAGAAAAACAAAAGAGAAGAGAAAGAGAGAACGAGGGAACACACCTAAGATGAACAGAGCGAAACGAAGCACAAAAACGAACAAGTGAAATTAAGCACGAAGCGAACGAAGTACAAAGCCGAACGAACGAAACAAAACAAAGCTGAACAATACTCTTCGAAACACAAGCCGCACAAGCGAAAGCAAGCAAAAAGAAGAAAAGAAAAATGAAGCACGAAGGAGAAAAGAAAAAATGAATGAGAAACAAAAAAACCGAAGGAGAAACTTAAAAGAAACACCAAGATGAAGGGAACCTCTTTTAAAACAATTTTAAACACATAATACATAGCGTTTCTTTTGGATAAGTGTTATCTATTGTGTGGAAATAGATAGGACTTGATTTAGAAAACGCTATTGGTTTATTTCAAATTATGAATTAAAAAGTAATATTAATTATTTGTAGATAGTGTTTTTCTTTAAAACGTTATTTATTTTTATTTGTATAGATAGTGTTTTTTTAAATAAGTGTTATTTGTTGTTCTACACTCTTAGATAGTGCTTATTTAAAAAAGCGTTATCTATTGGACATTTTTTGCGTACGTGGTCAGTAAACTTCATTTTCTTCTTCAACGAAACCATTTCGAGGTTGGTTTTTTCTTTCTTCAATGTATTACGTTAGATATATGTGTTCATGTTTGTGGTTGTGTTTATGGGTTGTGGACCATTTCTAGGTTTGTTTTTTTTTCCTTCAATGTATTACGATAGAAATGTGTTCGTGTTTGTGGTTGTGTTTGTTGGTTCTGGACGAGTTAACTTTATTTTTTGACGTGGTTTCTTTGCATTTTGTTGTTTTAAAATTACATAAAGTAGTATGAAAGAGGGGTATTTGAGTTCATAGAATATGTTAAAGAACATTCAAAACCAGTGAACGGGACATATTTTTTCCCTTGTGTCAATCAAGTATTTGAAGACTTGGACAACATATGTGATCATATGTTCATCTATGGTATAATGAAAAGTTATACAGTTTGAACTTAGCATGAGGAAGTATTATATAAGAAAACAACGTTAAGAGGTTCAGATTATGTCGACGATTGGATGAGTGATCATTTAGATGAAATGGTACGTGACGTTGGCGAAGAAAATTTTGGAAAAACTCATTTATACGAAAGTCTTAAGAAAAATTCAGAGCAAGAGTTGTATCCAGGATGCATCAATTTTACTCGATTGTCGGCAACTTTGAAATTGTTTTGTTTGAAAACAAGAAACAAATGGACTGATAAAAAAGTTTCACGGAATTGTTGGAGTTGTTGAAGGAGATGCTTCCACAAAATAACACGTTGCCTATCCGTAATTACGATGTGAAGAAAATTCTATGTCCACTAGGTTTGGAATACCAAGAGATACATGCATGTCCCATTGATTGTGTATTGTATAGAGATCAATATGCTTCAATGAAAGTTTGTTCGACGTGTGGTTCGTCACGATTTAAGAAGAAACTTAATGGAAATAATGATGAAGACAATGATGGTCCACCTGCTAAGGTCATGTGGTACTTACCTATAGTACCTAGGTTGAAACGATTTTTTTCTGTTAAACAAGATGCGAAGAATCTTATGTGGCACGTTGATGGAAGAAAATGTGATAATCTTCTTCTACACCCAGCTGATTCCCCTCAATGGAAGAAGATTGATGAAACATTTTCCGAATTTAGTGTAGAACCAAGAAACTTAAGACTTGCACTTACTACCGATGGTATGAATCCTTATGGCAACTTAAGAGCAAACATAGTTCATGACCAGTTATGTTGATGATTTACAATTTATCTCCTATGTTGTGCATGAAGAGAAAATACATAATGTTGTCTATAATGATATCGGGTCCTAGACAACTTAGAAATGACATTGATGTTTATTTAAAACCGTTAATTCACTAGTGCAAAAACAGCGCATAACGTCACGCGTTCAACGTCGAACCACTCAATAGCCAACTTTAAAAATGACCGGTGGCATTTTTGTAAATAAATACAATTATTAAACGTCGTTTAGAATTGTAATTCGACGTAAAAAGGATATAAAACATCGAATGCCCCAACGTTAGACGTCAAAAGGTTAGTGAATTCAATAAAAATTTGAGCGGGAGATTGAAAATTCATTCACTTTATCTTAGCGCGTGAGACCCTCTTCTCTGCTCAAACTTTTCTCGAACGAAGTTTGACGACCATCACATGTAATATTTCTTTCATTTGATACAAATGTATGTTAATTTACTACTTTATGTATGATTTTTGTTTGTTTTGACCGATTATTTTCGTGTTGTTGTCTTTCATAGGCGCATTCTGCTTTCTCTCTGATGTGTGACAACATTTTATTCCGATGAACCAATGTTAGTTTTCGTTTTCGTTTTCGTTTTGAAGAACTTATTTGTTGAACTTGTTTCTTGTTTTTTTTGTTGAAAACTTGTTTGTTGTTATTGTTTGGGTGAACTTGTTTGTTGTTGTTGTTGTTTGATTGAACTTGTTTGTTGTTTGATTGGATTTGTTTGTTGTTTGTCATTGTTGTTTGTTGTTGATACTATATTACACGTTCATAGTTCATGTTTTACAAAATACCAAAAACTTAAATTTGTTGCTTTTAGATCTCGTAGAGTTGTAAAAAAGGATCACAATTAATTTTAAAAAATAAAAAAATTTATTAACGTCGTTTATTGATAAAATTCAACGTTTTAAATTCGACGTCAATTTAACGTCTCCTGATATGACGTCGTTTTTGAATTCGACGTGAAAGGCCCAAAATATTCGATGTTGTACGTTGTTTTTGTAATAGTGATTGATGATTTAAAAATGTTGTGGGAAGAGGGCGTCGAGGTCTTTGATTCATATGCAAAAGAAAACTTTCATTTGTGTACACTATTGTTTTGCACCATAAATGATTTCCCAGCATATGGGAACTTGAGTAATTACAGTGTCAAAGGTCATTTTGTATGTCCGATTTGTGAAGAAAATACTAGTTATCTTGAACTGAAGCATGGGCAGAAAACTGTGTACACAAGACAGCAAAGATTCCTTCCTCTAAATCACCCTTACCATAGATTGAAAAAAGCGTTTAATGGAAGTCCTGAAGATGATGTAGTGTCCAGACCCCGTAATGGGGAAGTAGTATACAATCAGGTGAGGAACATTGATGTTGTCTTCGGAAAACATAAAAAGAAGACCATTGAGAAAAACATTTGCAAAAAGCAATCAATATTCTTTAATCTTCCATATTAGTGTAAACTTGATGTACGACATTGCATAGACGTGATGCATGTTGAAAAAAATGTATGTGATAGTGTTGTTGGGACTTTACATAATGTAAAAGGAAAGACAAAAGATGGAGTGAAAGCACGACCAGACTTGGTTGACATGGGAATCCATTCTGAGTTACATCTGCAATCCATAGGAAGACGCACTTATCTTACTCTAGCTTGTCAAACTCTTTCAAAAAAAGAAAAGCAATTTTTTTTCAATGTTTACATAGTGTAAAGGTTCCACAAGGTTATTCATCAAATATTAGTAGTCTTGTTTCTATGGAAGATTTAAAGTTAGTTTGTTTAAAGTCTCGCGGTTGTCATGTCTTAATGCAACAACTTTTACCAATAGCTATTCAAGCCATATTACTTGCTTCTGTTAGAGGTATTCTCACACGTTTGAGTTTGTTTTTCAATTCCATTTGCAAGAAAGTTGTTGATCCTCGACTTTTAGATGATTTACAAAATGAGGCTATCAGACTATTGTGCCAATTGGAAATGTATTTCCAACCCTCAGTTTTTTATATCATGGTTCATTTGATTGTCCATCTAGTGAGAGAAATTCGAATATGTGGGTCGATTTTCTTGAGGTGGATGTACCCAGTTGAAAGATACATGAAGATCTTAAAGGGATATGTTATGAATCAATTGAGACCGGAAGCTTCAATTATAGAGCGCTACATTGCATAGGAAGCCATTGAATTCAGCTTAAGTTATATGCAGAGTTGTGAACCAATAGGACTTCCAAAGAATAGACATGAAGATAGATGTGAAGGAAATGGAGTTCGAGGAGTGAAGATTGAAAGTGTTAGTGGAAAAGAAGTTAATCAAGCTCATTTGTACATTTTAAACAACATAGAGGATGTTATTCCTTACAATTCACAACACATTGATAAAATTAAGTTTGCACATCTACGTATGAGTGAAAAGTGGACACTTCATGAACATAACAAATCCTTTCTTAACTTGGTTTAAGAAAAAGATTTACGCGACTGCAAATGTTTCTGAAAATCTATTGAGACTAGATCGTGGACCTAACACCGATGTGATCACTTTCGACGACTATTACATAAAGAATTACTTGTTCTATTCAAAGGAGGAAGATGATAAAAGTAGAGTCCAAAATAGTGGAGTTACCCTACAAGCTGAGGCTGTATAGTTCTCCAGTTCCAAGGATAAGAATCCAATTATAGAATCAATGAGTTATTTTGGAGAAATACAAAAAATTTGGGAAGTTGACTATGTCACTTTTAGAGTTCCAGTTTTCGAGTGTAAAAGGGTTGATAACAATTCTGGTGTGGTGACAGAGGACCTCGGATTCACTTTGGTGGATCTTAACAAAATGAGTTATACGGATGAACCAATTATTATGCCTAGTCAAGTAAGACAAATATTCAATGTCACTAACCCAATGGTATTGGAAGGCAGAGCCATGCACACAACTGATGATGAAGACTCTCTACATATACTTGAGACAAGCTCCTTCTCATCAAGAACCATTGAAAATAAGGTTGATGATGTACCCGATGAAATACATGCAATTCAATGTGATGACAACGAAGGCATATGGGTAGATGACATCCCAAACGGCTCAAGTTATACCCTAGAGAATTGTAAGTGGAAACTTTTAACTAATTATCGTAGCTCATATCAATTTTATGTAATAAACCTTTTTAGGTATCTAAGTTCATTATGATATGTAGGATGAGTTGGTTGAGCAGCAGACTTAGGGCACCTTTGTGGGGCAAGGTAGGGAGGACCTCCTAATAGTAACACAGGTCGGTTATACCGTTCAGGTCGTGTGCGTGCTGTTGGAGGAGCTACTGGATTGAGGGACTACTTTAGCCCTAAACCAAGAAGCAAAGAGGCCCCAAGTCAAGAAGCGTTGAGTAACCTAAGGCAAGAGATGCAACTCGAGATGGAGGAGCACTTGAGAGTTGTCAATGAAC